GGTGTGATCAGGCTGGCAGGCAGGCAAGTGGTTGGGAGCCAGCAGTCCTGGATTATGAGAGGGATGTCCAAATGCCCGTTAATGCCCGATCCCACCAGCAGTCAGACATTTCTCTAGGGGTCCCAGATTGGAGAGAGTGCAGGCTGGGCTAAGGGACACACACCCCCATGCACGAATTTCAGTAGTTTAAAATATAAAAACAGATACATATATTTGTTATGAGCATTCATTTAAAAATATCAAGTTTCCTTACTCTGGGGTAGAATTATTCAACATGTACACATGGTGGCGACTAGGAGACTGGAAGAAGTTAAAATGTGTTTGATTAATAAGAAAAAAAGAAATGATATATAAATTTAGCTCTGATGCTAAAAATCAGCTCTCCAAACAGAGTTATGGTAAGGCAAATAATAAAAAAGGCTAGGAAACAAAACACAAGCTACAGAAATGGTAGAGCAACCTTAGAGAACCCTAGGTCATGGTTTCTAATAAAATAGCTAAATGTGAAATCAAGCTTGCATTCCCTCGCACCCAGCTGCAGCAGGAACGGAATGCCAGTCACTCCAGTCCAGGGTTCCAGGTCTCGCCCGGACAATGCTCATCTGGCTGACCGTGGGCTGTTCACACCCCCCGGCCTTGCCTTTGTCATCTGAAAAAGAAACTAACGCTATTTGATCTTCTTATGCCGCTTACTATTGTGATGAACAAATACAACGGTAGAAAACACTTTGAAGAAGTTAAGAACTCCACATGACTGAAAATTCATGTTTCCTCCATTGACTGGCATTCAGTGTTGGTATGTACACACCACCCAGGCCTGAATGAATTCAGCGATGAATTACTAGTTCAGCGAGTGTGAACTCTGTGCAGCTTTGGCAAGTGCCTGTGGCATGCCCCACCACGGGCTCTGACCGTCCTGCTGACTCCGGCGTGGTCCTCCCGGTCCTTGCTTTGTGCTCAGCGGCGGAACAGTGACTTAGTTTGACCACTAGATGGCACTAGTGACAAGGCGAGCTTAGGTCCCTTCAGAAATTAAGCACTTTTCCCGACCAAGGAACTTTTCCAGGTTTGTTTGTTTTGTAACTTTTTAAGACATCATTATCATAAAGGCCCTATGCTCCCTGTGAAAACATAGCAAACATTACATGACATTAAAAGGGAATCCGTGTCTGGGAAGGCTGCCGGTGGTTTCCTAGCCCTGATTGGAATGCAATAGCGTGTAGCCCGTTTAACGTGCAGGCGCACAACTGCTGGGCTGGTTGAAATCACTACAGTGTCTCAGGGCCAAACTGGAGGGGTAGCCGCTGTGCCCACGCCGCCCTCACCCTGAATGTGCACAGCTCCGCAGTGCCGTCCGGGTATAGCTTACTGGCTCCTCCCGAAATCCTGGTTTTCTCTGAGGAAACCGCATTAACCCACTACTTGAGCTGGTATTGGTGAGTCAGTAACTGAACTAACCATTTCAAGAAGCATATTAGGAAGCTTACAGTCAAATGTATTAATATAATAGTTTTTCTTCCTTACGATTTTTCTGGGATGGAACCGATACTGCTGTCATTTGATGTAGTTATGAGTAACAGATGGGTGGGGAGGTGGGGGGAGGCCCCGACAGCAGGGCAGCCATCTGAGCAGCTTCCCAGGAGGCTGCAGGGTGACCCTCAGGATGGTCCCCACAGGCACTGGGGAAGGGACCGGCGGGGAGCATAGATGCAGTCCCCGGCCCACCCATAGTCGGGTGACAAGGAAGGTACTTGTAAGCCAGTGACCGGGAACAGGCCACGGGCCAGATGACAGGGGACAGGACAGGGGACAGGCCATGGGCCAGGGGACAGGGAACAGGCCACGGGCCAGAGGACAGGGGACAGGCCATGGGCCAGGGGACAGGGCAGGGTGCAGGATGGTCCCCACAGGCACTGGGGAAGGGACCGGCGGGGAGCATAGATGCAGTCCCCGGCCCACCCATAGTCGGGTGACAAGGAAGGTACTTGTAAGCCAGTGACCGGGAACAGGCCAAACAGGGGACAGGACAGGGGACAGGGAACAGGACAGGGGGCAGGGGACAGGACAGGGGGCAGGGGACAGGACAGGGGACAGGGAACAGGCCACGGGCCAGAGCAGGTGCGGCCACTGGGAGGGCGGGAAGATCTGCCGGTCAATCTCCCCCATGAATGAGCGGGCTGCTGGGGGCTCTCA